AAGTCAAATAGCCACTCGTTACAACCAGGGTATGCAGAAGAGCATCTCTGAACACATTGAACCTTGAGGTGGATGGGCTACAACAGCAGAAAACCACACGGGGTGCCACTTTTGTCAACTAAGAACAGGAAACTGAGGCTACAATTCGCAAAGTCCCACCTAAATTGAACAATAGAAGCTTGGAAAAATGTTGCCTGGTCTGATGAACCTCGATTTCTGCTGCAACATTCGGATGGTGGGGTCAGAATTTGTCGTCAATAACATGAAAACATGGATCCATCCTGCCTTGTATCTGTCGTTCAGGCTGGTGGTAGTTTTGTAATGGTGTGGGGGATATTTTCTTGGCACACTTTGGGCCCATTAGTACCAATTGAGCATCGTGTGAAAGCCACAGCCTACCTGAGTATTGTTGCTGACCATGTCCATCCCTTTATGACCACAGTGTACCCATCTTCTGATGGCAAACTTCCAGCAGGATAATGCACCATGTCAAAAAGAGGGAATAATCTCAGACTGGTTTCTTGAACATGACAATGAGTTCACTCTACTCAAATGGCCTCCACAGTCACCAGAATCAATCCAATAGAGCACCATTGGGAAGTGGTGGAACGGGAGATTCGTATCATGGATGTGCAGCTGACAAATCTGCAGCAACTGCTGATAATATCATGTCTATATGGACCAAAATCTCAAAAAAAAAAAAATTCCAGTACCTTGTTAATTCTTTGCCATGAAGAATTAAGGCAAAAGGAAGGTTCAACCCAGTACTAGTAAGGTGTACCTAATAAAGTGGCCGGTGAGTGTAGTTAAAAAGGCATACAAATAAAAATAATAAATGAAAATATTAAATAAATGATTAAATAAAATCATATTTATATTATTACTTGTAAATAATATTTATATTTCATCTACAAATGTAATGTAATATTTATAGATTTGTTAATCACAATGATTTGATTATTTCTTAAGGAAACTGAACAGTTGGTCTGAACTAGGTGTCAAATTATAATGTTGTCAATGTATCATACTTTTGGTTAGGTTATTATATTCACTTCTTAAAAGTGAGTTCTATAATATTCACTTCTTGTTGCTTTATTGTAGTTTCTATACTGTATATTTAAGCAAACTTTTAAAAATGGCTCATTGCTTTTACGTATTCTGTTTTCTGTAAATGTTTATAATTTTTGCATTTTAATAACCACTGTACATGAAGTGTGCTGAATAAATAAATTTGCCTTTCTAATTAAAAAGCTGGAAATTTATAATTTTTAATTCAACGATTGTCTAAAACAGTATTTTGGCATTTTTTTCTACATTTTCTGCTTTAAATTTAGCTGAAAACATGTAACAGGTTGTTTAAAGTCAGATTAAACAACTTTGATAGCCTCACTGAACAACTGACTAAACTGTATATTCATTCATTCATTCATTCATTCATTTTATGCCTTAAGTCAAATGTTCAATTTCAAGACATATGCATGAACAGAAGCTAACCTTAAAAATGAAACCTAAAACCATGGCAAATATTCTCCAAATGTGTGACTGCTAGTCTAGGGCTTCCGTACTGTTCTCAGATTAGTTGAAAATGATCCACTGTCAGCTGCTTTTTCTATCCTAACTCACCATGAACCTACACAAAATACACACCTAAGGGATTTTCCACACAAATCTCACTTAGGCACGACTAGACCTGATCGAGTAACAGAAAGGCATTATACTGAATTTATTACTGTACGTCACCTCCGTTATCCACATGACATAGCCTGAAGGATATAATGGAATCTTTACATGGCAGTTTTATATAACAATGAACAAATGCCAGTCTGATGTTTATCTGTGGATGGAAAAGATTATGCGAGGCAGTAATAGATTTGCAGACGGAACATATTTAACCTTTTAAAAAGCGTGCATCCTTCCCTGAAAACTCATTCTGTCGTGAAGCACGTCCCTGCTTTTTTTTAAATTTCACTGATTTACAGCAATGAATGATATGCGAATTCGACACTGGGGAATTATTTATTCATGCACCTTATTTATTTTCAGGCAGTTAATTGTATACATTAGTTAGGCATGGGTAGAAGATTCTGACGGTACGATGACCTTGCATAAAAATATCAGTTTCACAGTATCATGATTACTGCTGTAACGGGGTTTCTACAGGTTTCCTTAAGTCAAATTTAAGACTTTTTAAGACCATAATGAATGAAATTTCTGACTAACACGAGGCTAAACCTTAAAGATTTTTTAATGGCCAAGTTAAAACCTTTAAAAAACATTAAAAACCAAATGTTATTGTAAGGAAGATAATTATACTGTATTAATAAGTAAACGGAGTTAATAAATAAATGTTTTTTAACTTTTATTGAAATATGTTGGTGATTGGATGGGTGTTGACCCAATTGGGTATAGCTTTACATGGAAAATTAAGACCCGTTTAAAGTGATTCAAGAACACAATATTTCAGTGGATTTAAGACTTTAAGGGCTAAAATTTAGTTTTTAAAATTTAAGACATTTTAAGACCTCGCAGATAACCTGAGTAAACGAGTAAACATGTCAGGCTAAATAATCCAAATGAATCATTGACTTCTGCTGTCTTCATTTGTTTTAAAAACACAGATTTCTTTACAATTTAAAATGGCATCTTTTGATATCTTTTCTACTAGAAATACTGTTGTCCTAAAAAAAAAAAAAAAACTTAAATAAAATAATCTTACCTATACCTTAGGAATGGTATAGCAGAACATTTAGCCGATTTTAAAACTTTTCCAAACTGCGATATACCTTAAAAACAGTTTTACAGTCTGTAATATTCACATAAGCATTGAATATTTGCGACACTAATTTACGACTAGAGGAGTTTACTAGTGATGGTTAACCTGTAATACGGCAACATGTTGTGGATTAAAGCTGGAAGTTGTTGGTACTCACTGTCCGTCTCCTTGTTTAGTTACTGCACGCCCGTGCAACAAATAAAACTAAACACAGAACAAGACACAGTCTAACATATTCTTCTATCAACATTCATTCAGTATAGATCTCAAATGATGCAGCATACTATTGTGGAAGGATATGGAAAACAGTTATGTGCTTTGCATGAATCCCAAGCATATAAACAGTCTGGAAAACAGAGTTGGAACAGTTTTTTCTGTGAATAAACAGGCCTGCAATAAATTTGTAACTGCATAGAGTTTGGCAAAGGTTTTCAAAGAGACGCCTTAAAAAAAACTGCATTTTCAAGATCTCAATTTCTTTCTTCTCTTCTCAGTTTAGTAGTTTCTTTATTTATTTGATAATTTGTGCTTGTATGTGTGTTAGGGCTGCACAATATATAATTTCAGCATTAATATTGCAATGTGTGGATCCACAATAGTCTAGATATGCTATGTTGAGTCTGAATTATAGTTGAACAGAAGAATTTTGCTGAATTTATATGATTTATGCAACAACAACAAAAACTTGTTTTTAGCTCAAATATCTACCTTTCAAAGCAAAAACAAGATTATTTTACTTGGCCCACTGACAAAGTTTTGTTTGTTTTAAGGAAAAGATTAAAGAAAAATTGAAAAGAAGACAATATTTTTACTTGATCTAAACTCAACTCAAACTCAAAACCCACTTATTTAAGATGACTTTTAATACTAAATTTTATCTGCACTATTGTTGTGTATATTTTATTATTTCTCTCGTTGTTTTATTGCTCTTGTTGATTGTACGGTGTCCTTGAGTTGCTAGAATGGCGCCTTTAAATAAAATGTATTATTATAATTTGATTATCATTATTATTATTATTATTATTATTATTATTATTATTATTATTATCTAAGAATTTTTTGATATTTGGACTAAAAACGAGACAAAGCGAAGTAAGAAAAGAATTTTTTTTTTTGCATTGTGATTGTTTAATTTCTGTACCTGAATACTGTTATAGACTCCATAGAAAACAAAATAGTGATATTCAAACCATCTTATAAAGCCATCCCTTATCACAATATTTATTGTAGAAAATTCAAATATCACAATATCAGATTTTACCAATGTTGTGCAGCCCTAATGTGTGTGATTGTCTAGTTCAATATTTGTTAGTTATGAGCTTTTTTTTGTTTTTTGTTTTGTTTTGTTTGCTTTGGATTGATTTTGTTGTTTGCTTGTTTTGTTTTAATGGTGTGGTTTGATTTGTTGGCTATTTATTGATTTGTGTTTGTTTGTCTAAGTTTTGTTGTTGTTGTTGTTGTTGTTTGGTTTGTTTTGTTTCTTTATTTTGTTTCTTTATTTTAGATATTTGCTGCTTGTTTTTTACCTTGACTTAGTTTAATTTTCTTTGTGCTTTGGTTTGATTTTGTTGTTTGCTTTTTTGTCTTTTTAAATGGTGTAGTTTGATTTGTTGACTACTTACTGATTTGTGTTTGTTTGTCTGTTTAAGTTTTTTGTTGTTTTTTATTTTGCTTTTAATAGATTTTTGCTGTTTGTTTTTTTACTTTGACTTTTTGTGTGCTTTGGTTTGTTTTTTATGGTGCTAAAGAGCTGAAGCTATTTTTACCTTTAAATATTTTAAATCATTGTACTTTAGTTCCTGCTTTATAGGGCTTGTCACAGCGGAATGAACCACCAATTATAATAACATTTTTACAATTCAAAGTTTTTACATTGAAATATTTCATTACTTTAAAGTTTTATCAAAAGTAGTTTTATCTGCAAGCTCCTTTTTTTAGATACAGTTGTGTATTGTCCTCAGGGTCTTTGTGTTTTACAACCTACATGACTGTGTGCTGACTTGGTCAACATTGATAAATGAGCGGGAAAGCCACCAATCATAAATGAGCAATAAAAGCAGTCACACAAAGCCCCCCTGAGTTTATATCCTTGACCTGGTGCTTTTATGGCGGCCTGTCTTCCTGTGAAGGTGGGCTCACATACCTATCTAGTCAGTGAAAAATGCAAGACAAAGGACAGATAAATGTGGTGAGACTGAGTAGGAAAATTCCAGCAGTCCTTCTTTTCAGAGAGGAAATGAAGATGCTTGCTCAGTAAGCAGTTTGGATGGGCTTTATTTATGTGGATACTCAGCACTGTTTTCCTTTTTATCAGCCTTTTTATCAAGAAGAAAACTGGTTAAGAGAGGAAGTGTTTTACCCTCTTCGGGACCTCAAGAGGAAATCTCAGGTAACTGGAACATTTGATTGTTTGTATTGTTGGATCAGTGTTGCTAAGCTGTGGTGATTCATGAGCTTGGTAAATATGCACACACTCGAGTGTGGCGCATTTGAAAGTCTGCCAGCGTTATTGTGTAAGGTCTGATAAATATGGCTACCCATATAGCAAGAGAAATTTGATTCCTGAAAGCTTTCATTTGATGAAAGTGTCCTGGAAGGAAGGCGGTCAGGTCTTTAAAGTGTATTTATTTTGGAACTCATTCTAAGCTCTTACTGGTGACATATTTCAATAGGCATGACATGTGGGTTTAAGTGTTTTTCACTTGGACGGTGAGGATCTGGGTCTTACAGGTGCTCCCAAATGTGGGAATGTTTTCTTTTTACCCTTCATTTTACGACAAATTGATTTTAAATTGCTAGACTTAGTATCCCATTCACGAGGAGAGCATTAAATCATGCCGTTCATAGGACAAAAAAGCTACTAAATGATTTCTGAGTTGGTACAGTACATCTAAAGATTGGTCTTTCAGATTAGATTTCATCTGACATCATGTGTACTTTCGGCCTCTTTTTCTCCCCAAGGGCAAATTTCTTTGCATTCCTCTTTTTTTCAACTGTAACCTCAATGAAGTAAAATAGATGGCTGTATAATATAATGGAATGGATCTCCTGGCCCTCAGGCCATCAGAAAAGCCCTGCGGCTCTTAGAAAGGGCGGACCGTCATCACTTGTAGAAAAGCACATCGCATTTTCTGTTTTTCTGTCAAAAGATGATCTTCTGGTTTCAAAACAAAGTTGTAAATCTGTCAACAAATTCTTCCAGTAAAAAAGGGCTGACTGAGCAGTACCCTATTCCTGAATGTAGAGGGTTTTTTTTGGTATTGAAGTAAATATTAAGTAAAACTGCACATTTTGATTATGATCTCAGTCTGCCTTTTACATTGACCTTAAAAGCAAAGTATGAAACATAATTACGTTACTATAAGCCACTTTTTTAGCACTTTTTCTGGAGAATAAAAAAAAGAGTACTTCCACTAGAAAAAGTCATCTCTAATCATTAAAATGAAAAAAAAAAAGTTAAATCCTCACATTGAGAATTAGTCTTTGTGCATAACTCTGCGCTGTTGAAACTATGTGGCATTTTTTCAGATTTAATTAATCAACATTACTGAAATTAACTGACAATAACAACTGGATATATTTACCTAAAAAATAAATTGATAATTCCTTGACACTATTAATTTGATACGATTAATTATATTTTGATCATTTTATTTATCGAAATATTGCTGTTTCATTGTATTTTATTTCTACATTTATTTTTTTGCGTGACAACTAGGTATTTTATTTAGAATCATTTCATTCTAAATAAATTAGCATTTCTATTTCTATTGGCATTTCTTCTCCATGTTTGCATTTCTTATCAATGCAAGCCTTCCCAGCAGGCACTCAACATCATAAAACAATATTAGGTTAGATTTAGTTCATGACATCAGGTGACCAAAATTCAATGTCTAGCCAATGTCTCAGCACAACATTATTTTGACGTCTGATAACGACTTCAAATGACATTAATATTTGGTTGATTTTAGGTTTTGTTGGAAAGTGACAAAAATCCAAAGTCTGATAGATATCATAGTGGTTAGGTCTACACAATTTCAAGGTGTAAAATGATTAGACGATGATATTTGGTTGATTTTAGGTTAGATGTTTGGTTCTAATGTCCACCCGATTTTCATTTCAAAATAAATTCCAATGTCCCCACGATGTTGGAATTCGTTGAAGTACAATGTCAATATGACGTCATGTTAACATCCTGTGCCTGCAGGGTTTAATTTATCTTAATTTAGCACATTTTTATCTTTATTTTTTCCCCAGTATTCATTTTAATCAGTTTTCTGCAAGTGCGGTCCAACCTAACTATTAGTATCAGCAAAATCCATCATCGTTCGGTCAACCTCTACTTTTACTTGTATCTGGACGCTATTTACTGCCATTTTTTGGAAGATCATAAACAGATTTTTTTTTTTTTTTTTTTTTAATTTCTAGCTATGAATTCTGTTTCTTTGTGAAAATGAATTATCATCAGACACTGGTACATGTAATTTTACTTTTTGTATATCGAGTCTTATTCAGCAAATGAAAACAATATGCATCCCTTTTCAAAGCAAATTGTCTATAAAAAAGGGGGGCAATGCACTTTTAATGTGTTTTGAAAATGAATGCATTAACTAGTTTGAAAACTAATTGAACCCTGAAGTCATGACAATTTGTACCTGATTCGTTCCTTTCAAATCCTGTTGAGCCTCATTGTTTTGAAATAGTAGCTGTGGAAGACAGTTTCCCTGGAGGCGACACACTGGCTAGTTTGCATTCTCCACCAAAATGTGTTTAAAGTACTTTTTCTCTTTATTTTTCTAACCACATGAAATAAATAGATATATAAAGAGTAAAACCTTCCTTTGAAAGAAATAGCAAACTCTTATTGCCAAAAGGCAGTCATGAAACTTTCAGGAATGTATTTGAGATTTTATTTGGATATTCAAAGGGATGATCCAACATTAATTTGAGGGATTGTTAAAAGCTCTGGTTAGTCTGGGAACATTCCTGTAATTCTAGCCCTGTCAGCACATCAGGCTTGTATAAAAGCTCAAAGGATGCACTAAAACTAAAACGGTGCGATATTTACACAAGACTTGAAGATTTCACAGCTGTATATTTATGGTGACAGCCGTGAGGGACAGCTAGAACTCAAGATATCACATGAGCAATACTGTATCATATTTCACTGATATCCCATGTGCGTTTTATGAGGCCTGGCGGAAAGCCATATTATATTTAATACAAAGTAAAGAAGAGTGTATGAATTCATTAGCCGTAGCATTTTCTTTTGTTGCTCGTTGAGCATTAGAGAGTGAGTTGTGCCTCCTGTATCTGCTGTTACTGTGATTTAGATGTGATTTGTCTGTCAGCAGGTTTTTCTTCACTTCACTGGTTGTTTATCTCACCTCTCAATGGCAGCTCTCCATTGATAAATACCACATGCAGTGTACTATTGCTTCTGCTAACAGTTATAGGTCACATTGGAGATTCGCTTGTGTTAAAAATGTTTCTAATTAAATCACTCTAACTAAATTACATAAAGGATAAATTCAATTTGTTTTTCATTCTGAGTATAAAGATCCAAATGTCCTGCCATAAAAAAATGTCATAAAGGTTCAATGGTTTGAAAAAATGTTTATTTGCTTCTTTTTATAAGTACATGGCGAATAAAATACTGCCTGTAAATACTGCCTAAATTATTTTGCGTATTAATTATTGAGTCAGTGGTTTATAATACAGTACTGTTCAAATGTTTTTAACGGATAAAAACTTATACGAATAAAAATAGTAAAACATTGTGTCAAAAAAAGCTGTATTTTTAAATAAAAGCAGTTTGGTTTTTTTTACATAATGTTATTTTAAAGAACAGTGTAGAAAGTATCAGTTTCCACTAAATATATTGATATATACACTCACTGGCCACTTTATTAGGTACACATTACAAGTACTGGGTTGGACCCCTTTTTTGTCTTCAGAACTGCCTTAATCCTTCATGGCGTTGATTGAACTAGGTACTGCAAATATTCCTCAAGAGATTTGAGTCCATATAGACATGATAGCATCACACAGTTGCTACAGGTTTGTCAGCTGCACATCCTTGATGCGAATCTCCCATTCGACCACATCCCATAGGTGCTCTATTGGATTGAGATCTGGTGAATGTGGAGGTCATTTGAGTACAGTGAACTCATTCTCATGTTCAAGAAACCAGTCTGAGATGATTCGCACTTTATGACATGATGTGTTTTCCTGCTGGAAGTTGTCATCGGAAGATGGGTACACTGTGGTCATGAAGGGATGGACATGGCCAGCAACAATACTCAGGAAGGTTGTGACATTGACACGTTGCTTAATTGGTACTAATGGGCCCAAAATGTGCCAAGAAAATATCCCCCGCACCAATACACCACCACACCAGCCTGAACCGTTGATACAAGGAAGGATGGATCCATGCTTTCATGTTGTTGACGCCAAATTCTGACCCCACCATTTAAATGTCGCAGCAGAAATCAACTTATCAGACCAGGCAACATTTCTCCAATGTTCTATTGTCCAATTTTGGTGAGCCTGTGCCAATTGTAGCCTCAGTCCCTGTTCTTAGCTAACAGGAGTGGCACCCAGTGTGCTCCTGTAGCCCATCCGCCTCAAGGTTATACGTGTTGCTGATTAGAAAATTGCGTTAACAAGCAGCTGGACAATGTACCTAATAAAGTGGCCAATGAGTGTATAATATTCATACAGATTGATAATAAGAATATGAAATGTTTCTTAAAGTGTAAAATGAGCAAATTATAATGATTTTTAAAGGATTGTGATGCAAAAAAACTTACTTTGCCATGACAGAAGAAATCAGGACTTTAAAATACATTAAAAATAGAAAACTCTTATTTAAAATTGAAAGTAAACAGACCCTTAGTAAACATTAGAGAGTTCTTTAACAGCACAAATGTATTTTACAAAGCCAAATCTTTTGAATAGTAGCATATTATATGCATATAGCATATTATGAGTATATAGTTTTAATTTTATAAAATAAATAATATGCTTTATGTTCAGTTTGTCAACCATGAAAGATTTTCATGAATAAACAATAAGGCAATTGACTGTTCCACTTCCAAAGACCATCAAGCTCTTCATATCATTAGTAGGCTTCTGATATTGATCCCTACAGCTTTAGCAAAAATCAATGCAGCATTCAATCATGCAGAGGGCTGAAGACAATCTAGCAGAGTGTCACGCTCTTTGTTGAGGCTCTGTGGCTGTGTGTGCTAAGTGCGTTTGTGTGAATGCTAATTACATGGGCTAGACTGGCTTGACACCACACTGTTGGCTTCACACAATAGATAGAAGCTCCACCCGCACAATGCACCTGCTGTCCAATCAGAAGCGGGGGTTGTCAGGAGGTTGGGGTCGCTGATTTCTTTTTCTGTAATGAGAGAGAGAGAGAGCTGAAATGGAAGTGACTTTGTGTTTTCTCTTTCCTTTGATAGTCCAAGTCAAGACAGGAATCATTGCATATTCTCTCAGGGAATTTGTCTGCTGTGTTAAACCGTCTAGCTTTTACATAAAAAGGTAAGTTATTTTAGTATACATTGACTTTTAAGTTCATTCATGTTTTGTCTAACTGTTTGTGTATGGTTTTTACTTCATATTGTTTTAGATTTAACGTTTTAGATCCTTATTCAAGTGAATTAGATAACTGGATGACTTTTAGGGCTCAGATAAGTAGCTGTTTGACTTTCACAGATGTTCTTTTAGGAATAGTTGTGTAAAAAGTCTTGCTTTTTGCAGATCACTGAAGCAGTCAACAGGCCTCTGAAGTTCTCAGACCAGTCAAACAGCACTGGCCTCTTCAGCTTATTTACATCACATTAATTCCACCCAAAGACATGTACTGGATTTAACAATGCATTTAAACGTCAGACTAGACTGGTTTTGATCTTGAAGACCAGCTGCTTTCAGAATATGCAAAAGTGAGTGTGTATTAATTTGGGTTTATGTTCAGCATAAATGTGACAACTTGAAATATGCATGCAAATGAGCATTTTACGCTCTTCACTTTTAATGAACTGCTTTTAAGGCTCTCTGTGTCTGCTGGCTGGTCTGTGACCTCGGATCACGTATGTTAGGAGCTGTAAGGCTTCTGACTGCAGGCCCCAGTATGTGTTTTAACCTTTGGGTCAGTGAAGCTGATTGCTGTTGTGCTGTCAGTCATTATATATGTGTGATCTCTCTTTACTTAGTTAGAGACCCTCAGGAGTAAATGTCACGGCCACAAGATTAATGACACTCATCTGTTTGCTTTAAAAACATATGCTGTCTTGAGATGTAGTAGAGCCTGTGGATTTCCGATCTTGAGAGCTTGATAAAGTAAAAAATGAAACGGAAACTTATTTATGTTCCAAACTTGTGATTCTGTTTAAAATTAGTTTTACTGATTCAGAATCCAGGATCATGTTTATTCAGGGAGCAGTGGCATGCAAATAGCTGCTATTCTAAGATAGCCTTGCATCTGACTATTCCTACTTCCGTTTTAAAAAGTTTGCAATAAACTACTCAAAACATAATATATGAACCGAGTATTAAATCTAAATTTATAATACTCATAAAACAGCCTACAAAAAGTACTCAGATGTAAGTAAAAAGGGCTCCCAGATAAACACTGAGGCCTCATTAAAGTGAAGCGACTCAGCCAGAGATTGGCTGTAATTATATTGCATTTGCATTTAATTTAAAAAACAATTTTTGATTACTCAACCTCATGTTGTTAAAATCCCCCAAGATCTTTGTTCATTTTTAGAATGTAAATGAAGATGTTTTAGATTAAATCTGAGAGCTCCCTCATCCTCTATAGACAGCAATGGTCTAGAGACGTTCAGTCTTGAAAAGGAAAAAAAACATTGTTGAGACCTTCAATGTGACTTCAGTGTTCAACTGCAATCATTTGAAGCTCCTAGAACACAGCAATCGTCTTAATGCCTGGAGTAAAATGCACACTCTAATTAGATGCACAAACTATACTGTTGGTAAACAACATTTGGGGCACAAATAATGCCGAGTTCAGACTGCATGATTTTCAAACTAGTCGTGTCACAGAGGTTTTCACACTGCATGACTATCTGGGCTAGCGTTTCGTCGCAGCTTTGTTTACACTGCAAGATGGTTCGGCGACATGGACATTCACATTGCATGACTTTACTAATGGGAGAATCGCCGACAACTTCGTCCAAACTACGTCTCACAGCCAATAACATGTAGTATATCTTTTGTTATTAACTACATAATGAGAAAGAAGCCTTTAATGCGGTAGAACATGTACATGTTTGCTCACCTGGGTTTAAAGGGAATTAGCCATTTCTCCTCAACGTTGATAATGAACTAATTTCTTTCTGTATGAAACGTCAAACAGACACGGTTGCTCCTGAGTCCTGTCAAACCTCCACTAGTTTTTCCTCCATTTCGTGGGTCCAAATAAACCGAAAAAGAACACTTTTAACTTCTCCCCCAGCCCCCCGCTGGCCTGCAGCAGGTACACACACGCACACACAAGTGAAAGCTGCTCTCTCATTGGCTGTAGGCGATCGCTGATGTTATTTTCAGTCAAAACTCAATTCACACCGCATGATTTGAATCGCCGACAGCTCCAGATATTTAGCATGCCAGATATCTCGCAGGCATCGGCGACTAATCTGCGATTCTCTCAGATCGCATCCTTGATCGTTCATACTGTGTGATTGTCACTCACGTGCACGAGCAGTGATTTGCCTGTGATTTCAGACATTTGTCGGCGATTTCTCAAAACCTGTCGGCGAGCCAAAATCGGGGCTAAAATTACGCAGTCTGAACTAGGCATAAGTGTTGGAGCTTTATATGATTACAGTTAAACTGCTGAGATCACATTATTTTTTACAATGTTTTTGGTTGCTTTTCTAGACTTCAAATGTCTTTAGACTGTTGCTGTATGTGGATGAGAGAGCTCACGGATTTCATCCGAAATATCTTCATTTGCATTTTGAAGATGAAAAAAGGTTTTAGGCGATTCGAACAGCATGAGGGTGGGTTACAAAGTGTTCATTTTTGAGTGAACTAGTGGCTTAATACCTTATGTTATTGGTTGTTTATTTGTACTTTTGAAGTACACATTCTGCATGATCTTATTCTACATCCCCAATCCTACCCAATACCTAAACCTATCTGCTACCTGATATTAAACCTCTATGGTCACTAAAAATTCCAGGATGTTCTTTAAAAAGAGTAGGAGTGTGATAAAATAACCGAGGCTCGAATTAGCGACCTACTTGCTGTGAGGCGACAGCACTAACCACTGCACCACCGTGCTGCCCAGGCTATATTGTCTTATTTTAAAAAGCTCGGTTCAGCCTGTGTTGACTTCTAAGGACTCAGTTTGGAAGTCGAAATCCATCGGAGGATGCAGCCTCTGGAATGAGGCACAGCTCAAGTGTTATGCCAACTTGTTTCATGTGTTCCTTGATAACCAGTCAAATTACACCCTTGACATCGTTGATTCTCTGTGGCAGTGAATCACTGTTCGTGGAAGCCATCGAAATATATGAGTGTCGTCTCTTATAAACCGCATTTTAAAGTAATGTCTAAAATAGGTAAATCCAAAACAAATGTTTGATGACTGAGATTATTAAATGTTAAGTTCCTCACTAAAACTTTTTTTTTAGGTCAGTGCCACTTTTTCTACCTTAACAAATACCTCTATTAGAATTTTATACTGACTACACACATTCATACTATATTGACTGTTGTTTAATTTCAACTGTTTCAACATTTCAACATTCATTCATTCATTGTCTTTTCGGCTTAGTCTCTTTATTAATCAGGGGTCGCCACAGCGGAATGAACCGCCAACTTTTCCAGCACATGTTCTACGCAGCGGATGCCCTTCCAGGTGCAACCCATCTCTGGGAAACATCCATACACACTCATTCACACTCATACACTACAGACAATTTAGCTTAACCAATTCATCTGAACCACACGTCTTTGGACTGTGGAGGAACCCGGAGCACCTGGATGAAACCCATGTGCATGCAGGGAGAACATGCAAACTCCACACAGAAACGGCAACTGACCCAGCCGAGGCTCAAACCAGCGACCTTCTTGCTGTGAGGCGACAGCACTACCTACTGCACCACTCCGTCGCCCAGTTTCAAACAATAGTTAAATTTTTTGATGCAGCAATTTTCTTAAGAAGAATGAGCTGACCTATTTGCTCATGTGCTTTCTACATTTAAATTCGAACAAACAAACAAATGAATGATCATCTACATGTAACCAGTACCTGTCGAACTCAGCTAATAAATGACTTGTGAACACAGCAGTCTAATGTTTCTACACACACAGAGATTGTCAATGCTGCGTAACTGAACACTGATAGAAACAAGCACTAGAGCATGTTAATGTGTTCAGCCTTAATGATTAACCTTGAGGTCAGCGTGCCTTACTGCTTCTTAAAATGCCACAGGCAGGTGTAGACCTTTCCGATTTGTGGACATCGGGAAGGCGTATATGAAGGCTTTAGTCCCTTGTCATCAGTTATATGGCTTTATGCAAAAATGAGATGCTTTTAACTTGAGTTCCAGAGGACTTTATGCAAATAGACGTATTACTGTCCCCAGTGCAATCAGTAAATTGAATAATGCATGACATGAATGCAATTTAGATTCAAATTCATAAATTGTAGTGCTTACTCTATACTTTAGATTATGAGCCTTTACAAATTGCCCATTGCATACAGTTATGTTCTATTTTTAGAGCATTTGTTATTAATCTAATAAAATAACAGTTGACCCCAAAGATATTTTAATTACAAAGTCATCCTAAATATAGGTTGAACATTTGAGAGGATTTTTAGCTAAAACTGCGTTCCTTGGTGATGCGTGAAATGGAGATCAATGACTATAATCAACACTTCGAGAAAGAAAAAACATTAATACCTCCGTCAATACATTGAGGTCTTTTGAAATCAAAGACCGTTTACAAAATGATTTCATATCAGCAATTAGTCATGTGCCTGTTTGTGGCAGTCACCCTCTGAGTGTATAACAATATGTACACACATTTTCTGAAGCTTTACTGTGTCTTTGATCTTTTTTTATTTTAGGTGTCACTAACAGCGTCTCAAACATGGCAGTCTCAAACTTTGTCTCTGTTCTTGTCCTGCTTCTTGTTAATTTGGTAACAAGTGAGAACATTGATTTCTACAATCTCAGGCCAGCTATAGAAGGTGGGTGTGTTTATTTCAGTCAAATGAGTCATTTTATTTGAATGTACACTATTAATCACAAATTTGGGGTCAGTGGAGATGCTTTAAATGAAAAGGCATTTCAAATAGTTCCAAATAGCCTGATAAATTGTCATAATTTTCAGAAAAATGTTTTCAACATTAATAAGTGAGCACCAAATCAGCAAGTTAATCTGATTTCTGAAGGATTACGTGACACTGAAATTATGCTGTAACAATTAATGATGCTGAAAACCCTGCTTTGAATAAAAAGCATTTAAAATGTATTCCAATACAAAACTGATGTCAATTTTTTTTACTGTTGTAATACTATTTATGTTTTCACTCTATTTCTGATCAAATCAATATGGTCTTGGTAAGCAATAGGCACTCTTTAAAAAAACTCATGTGGAAATTTGATTCATATATATATATATATATATATATAGAAGAAAAAAATATTATCCGACATACTGTGAAAATTTCCTTGCTCTGTTAAACATCATTTGGGAAATATTTAAAAAGCAAAATAAGTTCAAAGGAGGGCTAATAATTCTGACTTCAAACACACACACACACACACACACGTATATATCTCTATATATACATATATCTTCCAACCTGTGCCGTTCGACACCTTTATATGGAAGGTCTTTCTTTTTTTAAATTTATTTATGTGCTTTTTGCATTTTATAAAACTACAACAAAATAAAGAATAAAAAAACTATACAATACAACAATAATACATATAAAATACAATACCTAAAAGCACTAACCTATGAAAGAACACAGTGGGACAAATGCACATAGAAGCAAAATATAATTTACCCGTCAGGTAATGCATAAATACAACTAATTCTAAAGTAACATTGTTCTTATATTACCAGAAAAAAATGCATTATCCTGACTATAGTTTTATTGTCAAATAATAGTTTGGGCACATTATTAAAAACATTATAGATTATGAATAGTGAAAATCAATTACACTCTATCCTTAATTACCATATAATTGACAGGGGTCATTGATTATGCTTGCATTTCCTCCAATGCATTAAGGTGTTCTAATATCTGTCACCAGGTTTTATCAAATATCTTCAATTTGTCATTATTGATATATCTTAATCTCTCCAAAGCAAGCATTTTTACAAGATCTCTACCCCACATACCAAATTTGGGTACACACTCAGTTTTCCACATTCTCAAAATGATCCTTTTGGCAACTGAAAGGTCTTTTGAAAGTAGGTTTTAGTGTGAGTAAAGATATAGATTTCTAAATGGAAATAAAACTGTTAAAATATTTGAATGGTTAGTGTCAACCAGTGATCTATTATTTTATAACATTATTATTATTATTAATGTTATTATAATTTTCCAGTGACTTTATAACTCTAACTCATTGTTTATGTCTGTATAGCCACTCCATACCCTAAAAGTTTCAAGTGCTTCACATGTGAACAGGCCTCAGACAACTACAGCTGTAACCGCTGGGCAGAAGATGTGTGGTGTCCTCAGAGTGAGTTTCCTAAACACAAACCTGCCACTCTCAGACCTTCAGTTATCTCTTGTTAATTTATCATATTTTTGAGCTGAATTGTTCAGGCACGTTGTGAAGTAATACATTTCCTGTCCTTTGTTTATAGATACCCAGTACTGTATGACTATACATCACTTCAACCATCACGGGAAAACAAAGTTTGTTACCAAAAGATGTGCTGTTCGTGATGAATGCAGATTAGCAGGCTGTAGACATCACAAAAATACGCACCATGTTAGTATCCACTGCTCTACTTTTAGGCCTTGTTACACTTGCCATTAAGCTGTATCTTGCTCAATTGAGTCACAAGTAGATATGGGATCGCTTAAACCTGTTTTAATGTCAATTGTGTCCACTTTTGCTAATTTCTTTGAGGTGGTGGATCTATAAATTGTGAATGTATGTGCTTTTACCTGTTCTTTTGTCTAATATTGTAAAATTAGCTGACGCAATTTACATATGAACTGCAAGCAAGTAGAGAAATTGAAATTGAAATGCATTCGCAATTTGAAACGTTGCGATTAGCTAATCGCAAGAGGCTGCGATATGAAATATATATGTGTTATTTAATTTTCCCCTTTCAGAGCAAATGCACGACTGACGTCTGTGTATGACAGTCTTACAAGCCACATGAGTAAGCACACTTACGTTCTGCCCAATCAGAATTGCACGACTGAACAATGCGGAACGCCCACATTAAAATAAAAAACAAACAAACAAAAAAAAGAAGCATTAATAGACTCGTTCAGAAGCATTAATAGACTAATTTATATCAAAGAAAAACTGCATATCAGTAATATGGGAATATTTTGGTTTCAAAGTCACAGACATCGAACAAAAACAGGTCATTTGTAAGAGCTGTCGCAGGAATGTTGCCAGCATTAGGAAATACAACAACCAGCACCTAAATTGACTACAAAATTAAATCTCAAATCAAATTGAAATCACAATATCTGTTAAAAAATTCCAATTAGATATTTTCCCCAAATCGCACAGCCCTAGCAAGCAGCAAGTTTTGTTTCTGCTTAGGTATTTGGAAAATTACACCAAAAGCTGTGAGGTTATTTTCATGTCGTGATATGGTGAAGAATGAGGATATGAGTCTAGATGTTGTGTTATTTAATTAATTTATTTATTTTTTATTTTTTTGCATCTATTGGAATGCATTTGACCACATAACAGTTTATACTATGAAAGTAACTTGATCAGATTTCAAAAGTGGTCAAAAGTAGACAACTGAAATTTGTTTTAATTTCCATCTACACATGTGTATTTAGCATTGTCCACTTATAAACAAATAATCAAAAACACATCTTAACACCAGTGTGTAAACAGGGTCTTAGTAAACCATGTTTAATAAACCACCATATGCGGGTTAGGTCTGTTTTGATGCTAATCTTGAGCAGGTTTAAAGTGGTTCTTAACTGGTTTAAGCTGGACATGTGCTAGTCCTGAGTTATTTGCATAGGACCAACACATGATCAACTAGGAGTTCAAGCTGTCTGACAAATGCTTGAAATTGGTAAACTATTCAGCAATTGTTTAAGACATGTTCAGCGAGAATCACCAACCTGTCACTGACGCCCAAGAAATATTTGATATGCTAAATATGATGAACTTTTGGCAGTTCAAAATCCTGCTAAGTGAAAAGAGTTCTGAGTGAGGAGTGATCAAGAAACAATATCAAGAAACAGGTTCAGTTTCTAAGAAAGTCTCATTAACTGTTCTTTTTGCACCCAAGAAATGGAGAAAAGTTTGTCTTTTTGATGTTTTGTTTGAGCTCTACCACAACTAGGTACCTATTTAATCCTACCCAGTCTTGTGCAAGAACTCCTTACATTACTTATCACTGCTTGCATGCATGCGATCCTTCCTAATGTAAAGTCATGCTGTGTGTATCATTCTGAGGCTGATCTATCACACAACGTGAGCACTTCAGCAACTGATTACTACCCTAAGACACTTGCAGTGTGAAAACAGTGGGATCGCAGATTTTTTAAATCACCCAATGTGGACTTGCTATAAGAACCAGCTAAATACCAGATTAATCCAACTCATGACAAGCTAAAAACCATCTTATACCAGCAGCCATTCTTCAGAACACATCTAACCAACTTAACCTTAACAGAGGAAAAAAGCTAAATAAAATGTGATTTTGTCTTGCAGGAGTGTGTATCTTGCTGCGAGGGAATGGTTTGTAACGTAGAGCTGCCAACCAATCACAGCAATGCAGTGTTTGCTCAGAGACGAGCCCACAGTTCTGCATCAGCCACTTTCAGGAGCTGGCATTCAGTGATCCTGCTGATTCCCGCTCTGTCTGGACTCATGCCACTCTGATCCTGAAACTGCTCGCTGCTGATAAACAGACAAAGGAGATGTCATCCACACTGGAATATTGTTACAGATGGATGATTCTTCAAGGCCACAGCAATATCGTGCTGGAGAATGCTATCCATCAGCAGGATGCTGCAGGACCGAATGTGGGGTCAGAATGTTATTTGAAATCCACCGCCTTAATTATGGGCTCAACGATGACTGAACAGTTACTAATCAAATGGAGTTGCAGGGAAATCACATCAAGGCAGTGGCTCCATATGGCGCCATTAGAAGAAGGTCATCTCTAGTGGATCTGGATCTGTAATATGATGGCCAAAACAATCGTGTTTACTGTTTATAAAGTAGTGAACAGTGAGTTTGACAGTATTTTGAGTGCGCCCAGGCTGATTTATCCTATTTCAAAGTATACTTTTTTATGCTTAGGTTTCATCATCGAAATCAGTGTCACAAAAATATCACTGTACAAGCAGAGACTGATTCTACTTGCTGTGAGGCAGTCGTGATAGCCACAAAAGGCTGATTTATACATCTGTGTCGAGCGCACACACGTATGCTCCTACGTGTGATCGCATAGCCCTCGCCGTGGCTGAAGCGCACCTCTCAAAAATGTAACTACACGTCACTGCGAAGCATAGATTGGTCGGCTTGGTAGCGATGACAAGTGTTGGCGGGACGAGAGCCATGCGAACACATTGGAGCGAGTGTTTACAAGTGTCGAGTCCCATGAAGGAGCTCCAGGTGGAAAGTTTTGTTTTGTGTTTACCTTAGGATTAAACTTGTTGCACATCCACCAGTTCCTGCCTCAAAATGAGCCACTTGTACTTTAAGGTAGCATTTAGAAAAAACGAAACACCAGCAAAGAAACTCAACACATAAAAACCTACTGCCAGCTAGTGTTTCAGAAGTGTTAATGCAGAGCAACACAAACAGCACGCGGAAGTATGAATGCACGACTGCGCGCAAGGCATGCTCTGTGGGTGATGCCGATCACTCGACGCAGAAGTATAAACTAGGCTTTAGCCACCATGTCGCCCTTAGCTCAGACGTGCCCTTGGAATTGTTTTTGCCCTACTTATTTTGTATGTTATATTATATATTGATGCTGAATCAGGCTCAGAGACACTTTTAATTGCTCTTTTTGCCAGAAAAAGCACAGACAATAGCCCCTTTCACACATACAACCTTTCCGGAAAATTGCCGGCAATTTTCCAGAAAGGTTGTATGTGTGAACAGGTCCTTTTTGAAAATACCGGTAAATTCGTTCTGGCTATTTTCCGGAAAGAGAAGTTGTAACATTACCGGCAATTTGCCGGAATGCTGCTCTGTGTGAATGCAGATGGAAGATTGCCGTAATAAGCGCGTGCATATCTAGAACGTGCTGACGTGTGACGTCTGCTTTAGCCAATCACAACAGTCAGACGCATTTACGTCCGCGCGGTTTGTGAGAATAAAAGCCTTTGAATATTTTTCCAGACACATTTAGCTGCTAGAAGTTAGTCAGGTCACGTTTATATGTTCTTCTTAATGACAACTGTGTAAATAATCATCGATGAGATGCTTATAATAAGCCGTTGTTTGTTTACCTTCAAGCTTTGCGTGTGCCTGTGAAACAGCCTGTGAGCGCCTGCACACGCACATATTATGAACATTTCGACATGCGAAAGTGATCCTGCGAAAGTTGTTCACAATATTGATCATCCACAGAGTTTGTAATTTAGTCAAATGTTTACAAACACAAGCGCAGCCGTTTAAAGCTCATTTGTGGTGAATGATGTCAGAATTTACCGGTATTTTGGAATGGATGTGTGAATGCTCTTTTCCGGAAAATTCCGTAACGTCCTCGTCTGTGTGAAAAGCGCTTTTTTGAATATACCGGTAAAGTCTTTCCGGAAATTTTCCGGATATTTACCGGTATCACTGTGTGAAAGGGGCAAATGTACTAGTTTGAATATTTTAGTGCTCATGTGTCAAGTAAAAAAAAACAACAAATGGAGTATACCTTGCGCTTCAGTCCAATTTGACACTTTTTAAAATCCTCCAAAAACAGTTGGACTCGGGTATATAATAAAAACTATTCAAATATTTTATATGCAGACTCTGGATCCAAATTCAAAAGATGACAGTGGCCAAATTGGGATATTTTACCTTTCATTTTCGACAGTGAAAGAAAGTGAAGGTGTGTCATTCATCTTTTTTTGCAGTGTATTGTCCTAACCAGCAAAACTGTAACTCCAGTGGTGGAGAAACTGCTTTTACGGGAGTAAGCCGTGTCACAAAGGTCTGTCAATGGAAATCTGCCACAGCTTACTGCTTACTAATGTGGAGCTAAATAGGACAGAAAAACAGTCATAGCATTTAGCAGCAGAAGCAGTGGATTTCACTTGTGCTGCCTCAGTGGATTTGTATTGAGCAAATTGAGGCTTACGCTGAGCATTGGAAGTGTCTGTGTGGGACGTCCTGTGGCTTTGCTCCCAGATTCTGTCACACAGGCCAAGCGCATCAATGAGAGGACGCGGGATAGGTTGTTCTAGTTGGCTAAACAGTGTGAATGTCTTTGAAAGAAGTCTGGATTGCTGCATAAATGTCAGTGCTTTGAGAACATGAATCTGCCTCACGCAAAGCACTAATTAATAAATTAAGCATATTTTGAGGTTATTTTGTTTTTACTTCTGCAAACACTTTTTTATAAGAAAAAAATAAAGCAGTGTTATTTAATAAATTTGAAAAATTACTTAAACTGTAACGTGTCCTATTACTATTATTTCTTCTTCAAAGTCAAGCAAGCATGAAATGAAAATGGACCCTGTGTTTTTTCTAAAAGCATGTTATTGATCTTACTGTAATAATAGGCTCATCTGAAGACACAATCCACAATAATCTTGCCACTGCTGTTTTGTTGTCATGCCTAGAGACTGAACATTTAATACATACATGCATGATGCCATGTTTTCCACAAAATGCATTTCTGTCACTTACGCAAAGATGATATTGATATCTAAATCATCTTTAACTTGCAGAAAACACTTTTTAGGCCCCCAAAAGAGAGGGTGCTCGCTGCAGAGCCATTTGAGGAGAGCTGAGCTCCAGCAAGGGGGAGCATGAGCTGTCGCTCCTCCTCCTGTAAGCTGTTTTAATGCGTACACCAACCCCACCCCTAACCCTACCCCCAGTGACATCACTCGTAGAAGAAGTGCAAAAAAGGTGGAGCTCAAGCTTAAGCTCCCCCTTGCTGGAGCTCAGCTCTCCTCAAATGGCTCTGCAGCGAGCACCACTTGCCCCAAAATGCCATTTTCATGTAACTGGAGGGTAAGAGCTCTTTAGTTTTTGAATTTGTTGTGTAAGTATCCCCTAAATAAAGGTGAAATGACAGACGCTCTGGTGACAAATGGCATATTTCTTCAGTCATTTAGTTTGCTTAAATTCCAGCATTGTTTTACCATTAACAGCAAGATCATTTTTGGCAAATCAACATCAATCGGACATAATTTCTTAAATTATTGTTTGCTGGACACTCAAAGCGCTTTACACCTTTTAAGGGGGAATCTCCTCATCCACCACTAGTGTGCAGCATCCACCTGGATGACGCAACGACAGCCATATTGAAGTAATATGAAGCCAATTATAATATCGGGATAGTTAAGAGGCCATGATGGAAAGAGGCCAGTGGGCAAATTTGGCCAGGAGTTAAACCACTACTCTTTTTTTTTTTTTTTTTTTTTTCAAAGGATATTCTGGGATTTTTAATGACCACAGAGTCAGGACCTCGGTCTAACCTCTCTTGTGAAAGGTGGCACTCACTAAGCAGTATAGAGTCCCCGTCAATACTGTGGCTTTAGGACTCTATCTTAGTTAATCTCACTCAATTGTTTTTTTTAGTTGATCTCACTAACACTACTTCCAGGAGCAACCTAGATTTTCAGATACTGACCGGGATCAGCCCTGTTTAGCTTCAGTGGGCGACCACAACCCTTGTGTGAGTTGCAGAGAGCTGCCGGTAAAACATTAACGTTACATTATATTTTAATATTATTATCATGAGATTCACTCAGATTTAGACCTCAATATGAAAGAAAAAAATAAGCCACTGTTTAGCCACTTTTAAAATGTAAAGAAAATCACAATTATATTTTGTCCTTAAAATTGCTAATTTTATTTGTTTACAAAAAAAAATTAAATGACTCTAAAATCAGTGTATATTAAAGCCACAATAAGTTATTTTTTAATGAAACAAAAATACTAGAACAGTGTTAATGTATATATGTTGCTGACTTACAGTATGTTGCATTATCACAACTGTTTCAAAGAGATGTGAAATAAAAAGTTTTATGGATCTACATGGACTGTGTAGTAATACTATTGAAGTTACACACACTCTATTTACAGTTTGGTTTTGTAGAAAACAGGCAAATATCATAGACGCTTACAGTAATGCACAGAGCAGCAGCATTATAAAAGAAACCTAAAATATATTTAGCATGATAAAACAGGTCAGCTTCTTCTTCATCTGATCATGGCCAGAAGAACTTGAAGTTGTGGACTGTGGTATAATTAAAGCTCTGCTGCTTGCAGGCTGTTTTTATGCTAGTCTCAGTGATAGTCTCAGTCTCAGCTCGTCTCAGTAATTCTTCAAGAGTTTGCTTCGACAGCTTTCGGCCGTACTCTACTTCATATTACCATGATAAGAAGTTGTGAATACTTAGGGTGCTTTTACACCGGCCTTATTTAGTTCGGTTAAATTGTACTAGAGTTCGTTTTCCCTCTTGGTGTGGTTCGTTTGGGCAGGTGTGAATACAGCAATCGTACTAGAGTGTGCACCAAAAGCGGACCAAAAAAGCGTACCGAGACCTGCTTGAAGAGTGGAGTCGGTACGCTTTCAAACGAACCCTGGAGGGGTTTGTTTGTGTTGAGAATATGATCCGAACTAAAACAGACCCAACTGCAAAAAGTACTGCACCTTTTGGACTAATCCAGCTGCTGTAGGCTGATGCGATGTACATTATGAGATATGACAGAAAATCATTTGTTGACAGCGCTTTATCAACAGAGAGAGAGAGAGAGACAGAGAAACATTACCTGATGGATCGTTGGCATTTTCCCGCATGTGAATTCTGACCAATCACAAAGCAGTTTAGGAACTATGTTCAACAACGTCTGGCCATTGAGAGATGTGGACTTTGTCAGATGAGTGCACTTTGGTTCTTTTCAACTGGTTCGGACCAAAGCAATTATTGTGGTTTAAAAACGACCCAAAGACGACAGAAAATGCAACAATGTATCATTTATTACCCCTGGTCCGGACCAAATAAAGCAAACTACAGATGTGAAAGCACCCTTAAGCTTATCCAGAAAAATGATTGCTGCAGGAGTCCCATATAGGATGTAATGAAGACCACAATTCTTATGATTTCACCATCAGTCACTGCATTATAACTATGCCTTTGTTTGTTGTGAATGCGTGCCCTCTAGTGGCGAAAATTATACTGTTCTTTAAAATAAAAAGAAACAGGATATTATTAATACTGTAGAAGTCACCGCAACTAATGAAATGGAAGAGCTGGACACCAATCATTTATCTTTATCTAGCTGCTTCTCATGATGAAGTGAGTTATGATAAATCATCTTGTTTACTTTCTTCGGCTTGATTAAGTGCGTAAACGGTTCCTCATCTCTTTCTCCATAGCACACCGCTGTGCTTTTTGTATAAGCAGCGGGGCTGTGTTTTTAAAATTCCTTCCCTGCTGATCTGAGAACAGCTCTGTCTTTTCACACGAGATGCTCAGGTTGAGAGTTTGGAGCAGGAAGCTGAACCTCGAGCAGTACAAAAGAGCAGCTCCCCCCTGGCGGAGCTGCGAGAACAATA